TCTTCTTTGTTAAGATTTTACTGTTGTTCAACAGACGAGCATTGAAGAGCATAAAACTTCAAGAGGTCCGACTGCCCCGATTTTGTATGCAGGCAATTGAACGTTAAAAAAAGTACTTCCACGGAGCAGGGGGAACCCTAATTTGAATTCAAATAGAGTTCGCTCGAAGTCAGTTTTTTAGAGACACGCCCCTTTGTGGAAGTACTATTTGAAATAGGTTTACGTTCCAATGAAACCATGGCAGTCGGACCACTTGCAGTTTTATACTCTTTGCTAGCATTTACTGAGCCCATAGCTGGGTAGGGGCCATGAGATGTACTAAGCACCGAGTACAGTAGGAGCTGGAGTTTGAGGTTCTGGTTTAAAAATGCGTGACCTTAAACACTGGTACATAATATATTAAATTGAAAATTATCTGTCTCTTAGTAGTGTTACCCTCTTCTTTCTTTTCTCTCTTCTCTCTTTTTTCTCTTTTTTTTGGGGGACCCTAGCCCTTGTTCACCCCCACTCCCCTACCAGATCTACCCCTGCAATGGGTTTCTGCACATGGTGGACAGCCTAATTATCATGGACACATTCTGTCAAAAATATCGCCAATCAATATTATGCGCCCAGGAAGATATTTGCTTTTCTGTTTATGAAAAGCACATAAGCATTTTTTCTGATTTCTGGCATGAACTATAATTTCAATTATTGTACATTTATATGAAAATTTTTTTATAAAGGAAAAATTAAATGTCACTATGTTAAGAATTTGTACTGCGTACCAATTTAGTAAGGAACTAGGAAAATTTTCCATTTATATTTTTAAAAATAAAAAATAGATATCAATTGAATTACATTAAGTTCGGAATTTGTCAATATAACTTATACAGTAGACAACCTATTTTTTTTTAAATTGAAAAAACCAGACTCACAAATTGCATCATTAACATCTGTTATCTTATTTATTTATTTCATAATAGCTTGGGCATACAAATACAATTTCAATGCAAATAAAATTTATCATTTCCTTAATGTATCATTATCATGATTTCTGTTTTATGGCCCTGTTTTAAGTACTGCATGCGTGGGTTGACCAGAATGCTATGGATTGCAGCTCTTCATAGATTCGTATCAGTGTCTCTTCCTCTTTTAAATCTTTTAATCCTATAATAAATAGTAGTTCCCCTCTAATAAAATTGATTCCATTTGATTTAGAAAAAGGTAACATTAGAAAGATAACTACCATATCCCAGGAAAGACCAATTGCTGTAGTAGATACAATAGTCACACTGACTCAACCATGACAGCACTTGGTCTCATACCTGCTTCGCTTGCTTGCTCCATTTCATTGGTCTTTTATATTGGCGCATAGAGACAGCTGTATTATGGGCATTATAAATCCACTGATTGATTGACTGATTGAATGTAAATAGTGAAGGTCGTCATTCAATAGAAATTCAACATAAATTTACTATCAAAGATGATGCATCACGTTTTTATGTCACAGGTGTATCAAATGACAGTTGCATGCATTTGATGGCATGGTCACAATCTGTGTCATTCTGGCATTCATTATGACGTAAAATTGAGTCATTCTCAACTACAGTACTAAACTTCAAATAGCATTACAGCATTGTGACTCCCACCAGATGCAGAAGTTCCAACCCCAGAAACTCAAAATTTCAGAGACGAGAAGCGGGATGTGATCAAGCGTGTACCCCTCCCCCCTACTGATTGTCGGTTGCAGTCTGAAAGGATTGTTATTCAAAACTATCGGTTTCGTGCGCGTCGTAGCATTCCATATAATTGTGTTGGCCAAGGACTATCAGTTGCAGCAAATTCCCAGCTTAAAAATTTGCCTAGGCCTTTGCACGCTGATATAAGGATGGTGCACAAAGGAAATTTCGCATAGAAATATTTTTAATATTTTTAAATTTCAAATAATTGGGTTTTTTTTTTGTTTTGTTTTGTTTATTTTTTTTTTTTGGTGGGGTGGAGGTTTAATTTTTTTTTTATTCAGGATTCAAGAGACTAGGAGACCAAACAATCTGAGACTTCTGAATGAAGTTAGAAAGTTAAAACATTAAGAGTTTTTAGTGGGGCAGTCACTGTCTGGTTGCTGGCAAAAATGATAAATTTTACTGTACAAGGGTGGAAATTTAACATGTCCATCTTAAATGTCGGTACGAAGGTAAGAAATTGGTACGGTTAAGAAAGGTACAGGTAGGTATTTTGGTGACTGCAATTGAGACTACGATAACAATCTGCATGAGGGACTATTTAAAGTACAACGTATGTCAGCTACCACACAATGAAAGTCAGTAATTGTATTGTTGTTTCTTCAGACTTTACAAAGAAAGGAGGCGGTGTTAGCAATGTTCTCTGACCTTGCACTTTCTCTACACCCCACAATTGAATAACTATTATAATTTTGTTGCTCTAAATATTTTACCTTTTTTTCATTTTATTCAATTTCCAGGTTTCAATACAATGTAAACCTTACAATGTGAATACAATACCCTTTAAGGATTGGCAAAAATGCGGTGTTACTGTATTCAAAGTGACTTCCCAAAACTATTTACATGTAAAACATACCAAAACATATGCGCTCGTGATTATAAATTAAACACTAAATAGCCAAGATATTTTGTACATACAGTACCCCGTATTACAAGAGTTATTTTGTTTTACTTTCACTATCGCATAGCAAAAAAATTAAAGTGGGTTTTTTCGGGATTTAAAATTTCTAATCTAATTAAGGAGTAAGACCCATGTACTTTATTCTGTTTATACACATGCAGTATAAAAATAGTGCTTATTATTATTTATTATAAAAATTATTATACGATAACATAAGTAATACATGACAAGAAATGTCTTGGTAATCTTTTTTTACAATACAAATATAGGGTACAAAATTATTTCTTAAATTACTGTAGCTATGCAAAAAAATTGAGGCTACCCTGCAGTACAGTAAAACTGGAGTTAAGATCATATTCCAGTTATGACGACATTCTAAAAATTATAAAAATAACACAAATAATAATGTTATAAACAGATGCTATACTGTAAACCTTCACTCTAAATGGATTTTATTAAATGTCTATTATAATGCATTACAGCTTTAGCATGAACCAATCATATTGCTTTAAACACTACATCCTAAATCAGACATCGTATATTCTGATTGGTTAAAAAATTGCATTTCCTCTTATAACTTCCAATATTATAAACAAGTTATATTTGATTACTATGGACAATGAACACTAGACTTTTGTTCTTGGAAAATTCTCTTTGTTTATGTTACAGTACTTAGGATCCTCCTTATTATCTCCTCAGGGTACAACCCCTTCAACACATTTTACCAAAATACTCAAAGGTACTGTATCTCAGAGGAAGTGAATTGTAGGTCACATCATCCATAAATAGACCAACTTTATGCAATCTGTATGACTGTATTTTTAAATAAGATTTGGTCATTCTTGTTGAATGCCGGCACTATAATACAAATCTACATAAACTTCTCCAAATACTAATTGATATCACCTCATAGGGTATAAAATACTTAATACAAGATAGTTCTATCATTTTGAAAAATCAGAAATTGGTTTCCACGAGCAATTAACTCTGTAATGAAAATCATAAAAATAAGATTGTCCTTTCTTGTTGAACACCGGCAATATATACAAATCTACGTACTGTAGACTTCTCCAAAATACTAACTGATATCATACCTCATAGTGTATAAAATACTTGATACAAAATAAAAGATAATTATATCATCTGAAAAATCAGAAATTGATTTCCACCAGCAATTATTTTGTAATGAAAATCATAAAGAATGATAGACAGTTAATAAGAAAATTACTTACAGTAATGCATTCCTAATGGACGCTCCTCATTTACAATTAATTATTTTGAAATTTTAGGCTAAATATCAATTTAACAGAACATTTTAATGTGCATTTCTACATTTGGTATTAAAATACTCTTATCAGCAAAAGATGAAGTTTCAATTATTTAATATTTTTGCATTGAGTGGTCATAATTTCATATTTTCATGTTTGATCACTTATAAGAAAATGGATTTACTGTTGAATATATATATTTTTATTGAATTTATTCAAACAGAATTATGAGAATTCCTTAATTTGCATATTGTTATTTTTTGAATTTTATATTTTAGCGTGCTTGTTGTAATATCTTTGATTTTATTTGACATTAAATAGTATCTTATTTTATTGTTTTATATTGCCCTTCAACATTAACAACATTCAGATAAAACCTTATTGTTATAGATTTATACTTAATATTCACACAATAACACTTATTGCTATAAATATATACAGTACAAATCTGCTTGAGATTGTTCTATACATTAATGAATTATTATAATTTTTAATATCTATACAAATTTACAAAATTATATAAAACAGTACTTTACTTGTAATGTTTTATCTTCCTTTTTCTAAATATGATTTATGTAAAGCATGCCTTTACTTGATTCAAACTCTACATTTTGATATCAATTTATCATTATTGGACTTTTATCAGTATAACACTTGATAAACTATCAAATATTTGTTTTACTGTAAGCTTTGAGTCAACAATGCAAAGGCTTGTGCCTATTCTACAAAATATATAATAAAATAGTTCAAATTATTAAAACAATGGGACCTACAGATAGAATGATTATGTGTAAATACCACAGTAATATATGAATATTAAACAATTTAGCAAATCTGAAGTAAGATTAATATACATTTTTTAAATGATTAGAATCAGTTATTATACAGTAGATTAAGAAACTGTGTACATATTTGGAGGTGCAATTTGAAAGTGATTAATTTTGCTATTGGTAATCTGGTCTACCATCAGAAAATATTTTTAATTGCCTTTGCTATCTGTTTCTGTTTTTGAAATGTAATTGAGTATATATGAAGTGACAAAATAAATGAAATGGTATAAGCATGGTGGATCCCTTTTTAATCAAGTTTTAACTAAAAAGCACTTACCTCAAAAAATGCTTTCAGCCATATAGGCAACATATTATCCAGCTGAAAAAAGATGAAAAAGATGTATCAATTATCAAAATGGCGGAGATATATGATAACAAAAGTAATTTATAATAATTATCTTACAATAGAGAGGCAAATCCAAAGGGTGGGAGGAGGTGTCATAGACAGACAATTTTGTAATTCAACTACAACCACATTGGGGCTGAGGTACCATAGTTTGTAAAATGTTTATTAAATTTATTTAAAATCATCTTTGCTTACAAATTAGTTAGACCACTGCTTCCCATTGGGCTCTTGAAATTCTAAATTGTAGATAATTATTAGCAGACACTGAGACAGTGTTGTCCTCTTACATGATTACAATGATTAATCTGAGCTGTCTCCAAAACGACTACACGTTTGTGTACGAAGGCTTTGTGTCAAAGATTGACTGAACAGTGTCATATTTAATGTCACATACGTATTAGAAATATTACAGTATAATACATAAAGCTCTGTTCTGACTATAAAATTTTCTTTGACAAAAAAACTGCTGTATGCCCATATATAGTCATGATGTGCCTATATATGGTCATGATGTGCCTATATATGGTCATGATGTGCCTATATATGATCATGATGTGGCTATATATGGTCATGATGTGATGTCATCATGACCATATTTAGGCATGTCACATGTTTTTGTCAAATAAAATTTGATAGTCTGGACAGGGCTTTGTGTTTCCAATAAACACAAATTAGAATTTTATTTGAAAAATATCCACAAACTGTGAAAAAGAAAAGTTTGATACACAAGACATATCTGAATAGAAAACAACTCAAATTATAACAATTACCAACTAAATACAATTTGACTATAAAGGGACAAAGCTAGTAGATATACTGTAAACCCTATGACGCATTATTAAAATGGATAACAAGGTCAAAGGATAAAACTAAGAGGAAATCTTGTATGTCCAAAAGTTTGAATTTGAAGTCAAATAATGTGAATGTATGCTTTAGTATAAACTACTGTAGATTTATAGTCATGAATTTGGAAAGGTCATTCAAAAAAAAAAAAAAAAAAAAGATAAGATGTACAGCATTAATTTTGGAACAATTACATGGGAGCTTATTAAATAAGCCTTCTCGCTTTCGCTGAGTTAATTAAAGAGCCATGCAGGTGCACAGGATATGACGTGCCATCTTGGAATCCTTAATGGTCTAAATTATTTATAAATAATTATTTTCCTTATCATTCTATTTAATTTATAATTATCTCATTTTAGGAGAATAAACACATTTTTATATTTTATTCATAATAATCCCATTGTATAAGAATAAACACATTGCAGGTTAGTTTATAATGTATCACAATGTAATTTTTTTTCTGAGAATGCTTGCTTTTGACAAAAACTAAATAATAAGAATAATAATAATAACAACAATAATAATAATAATAATGACCGATTAGAATTTATCTTTTTGGTAACAGAATTAAACAAAGTAAATTAAAATAACAAAAATAATAGTAACAATAAAAATAATAAACAACAATTAAATCAATAGAAATATAACTATATAACAAAACAAACAGCAATTTGACAACATAACAAATTACCAATACCCAAGGACCTAAGGTAGTTTTTTAAGTAGCCCTTCACAAATTGTGGTTTCGATCAATTATTTATGATAAAACAAAAAATATTACAAAAGATTACACAACAGCCCCTTTAAGAGCTGTTAGAATAGTATGGTTGAAAGGTATTTGTTTACACGTGTGCCAGAATGTAAACATGAAACACAGTTTAGATACTGATTCTAAAAATTAGGTTAATTACAAATTACATCATTCAGTGCGCCTTATTAATTAAACCAGCATATTCGATAAAGAGATTTGCTCACCTGAAATGATTGACAAACATATCATAGAAATCTACAAATTATAATTTTGGATCATTTATTACCAACACTGGTCTGTAATGTACTGTAAAGCCTTGCCCAAACTACCAAATTTTATTTGACAAATGCCTTTATATGGTCATTATGACATCACATCATAACCATATATAGGCAAACCATGACTATATATGGTCATACAACAGTTTTTTTTGTCAAAGGAAATTTGATGGTGTGGATGAAGATTCTAACCTAATTGGCTTTTCTTGCTTTATGCATAAAGGTCATTATTTTTTTTTTTTTTGCTCTTAGAGTACCAGTATGTTTTTCTCTCCCTGCACTTTGGTCCCTTTCCATGCTTGGATTTTTATCTAACTTCCAATATGTCTACCTAAAAATATATTCTATATTTTTGTATATAGAAAACAACCTCTAAAAAATGGCAAGTTGATGGTTGTGACAGAATCCAAGTGTGAACAGTTGGTACGATTTAGCCAAAATAAATTGTTCCTGCAAACACAAATTTGGTGTCATTCTGTGGCTTAAACCTGGCACCCACTGCGCACAACAGCCGGCGCCCTAACACCATCCGCTGACGACATTCTATGAAGAACGCAATGCTACAAACTACGCGCAACGGATCGTTAAAGATGATCCATTCATACTGCCATTGAAAATCAGCAGCATACAACTGTCATATTGGATTCGTCGGCCGACAGTTGTACGACCGTCATATGACAGATGGAATATGTACGCACTGAAAATAATACTTACATCTTCAAATAACGATCCTAAATTAGCAGTAATTAATAGCACCCCACATAAGTCCTGGTGACCATTTTCGCCGCCCTTCCGTGAACCTTCCATTGTAAAAAAATCTACGTTGACCACAAGTATTGGCCAATGTCTGTTACATGTACAAGGTTTGTTTGTATCCTTCAAGACAATATTCAACTGGTGTAAGTTAGTTCCATGTATTGTTGCATATCTTCATAGGTATTTCATAGCATCTGTGAACATTATAGCAATGCTTCAACATTGGTTAGTGTCCTTTATGTTTCCTTGTTAGATTGAAACTTCTCCAAATCAACTTCTCCTGCAATGATAATAGCAGAACAGTATTATATCTGTATATTTAAAATAAGTATGATTCTGTTTATTTATAATTTGATTATAAATATGGGTTCATTTTTTTACTATCTTGGTTTAAGGAGTGGTACATAACTAGGTTCATCAGAAGCATACCCTAACTTTCTAAAATCAAATTAAAGTTTTATTACTATATTGTAGTTCATACAAGCCCTGAATTGGACCAATATTTACAATACAAAGTGTAGAATATAAAATTCACTTCATGTTGAAGCACATAGTTGATCAGTATGTGCTAAATAATTTTAGAATATAAAACGCATTTAAGGTATAATGAAGCACAGTAAAAAAGCCATACTTTCATTAAATGCAATTTAAAGACTAAGAGAATATAAAGACCGTAATTAGGAAAAACATGTCCTAACAAAACAATTATTTATATTCTTCATGGAAAAATATATTAAAAGGATTCTGACACAGGTTCTAGCCCAGCCCCAAAAGGAAGGATGTGTGAGATAATGTTAAGTACCTACTTTCTGTCAAAGTGTTCACTTCAGCCAGGTAAAATTCACCTTTCTTTGGTAGGCCCTTCCAACTATACTGTAGTACGCCTACTGGCACTACAAATGAAGTCTCTATAGCCTAGTGGTTGTGCCTAGCAGCCAAGCACGTACTTACTGCTGAAGTAGTGGTATTCGCCCCCACTAATGGAGATAAACTTTAAGCAGTAGTAGTCCTATCCTAGTTTAGTTACCATATTATTTCTCCAAATCTAAAGGAAGGCTTTGATTCAAATGAATATCTAAGCATGTACAGTACCTGCTTACTTACACACTGTCTTGTTTTGTATCAACTAAGTCACTGCCTGCCAAGCATGTGAAGTCTAGAGTCTTGCAAGGTTCTACTTAACTTTGTAGCCGCTTCTGACAATCAAAAATAGCCTCCCTGACAATCTTCCCTAGCCCTACGACAAAGCCAAGCCTATATATTAATCTCTATTAACTCCAACCATTGTCAGGCGAACCATAATGACGTCAAACTCACTATAGCTACCACCGAGGGGCCGTTTTATCTGAGGTCACGTTGTTTTGTTTATTATCCATATTCATTGACAAATCCAAACATAGTGAAGAACTCACCTTTCCCTGCCACTGTTTTAACGGTGTTTGCTTACATGTAATACATTTTTGTGTGAAAGCTTCTCTAGCGAGCGCCGTTGACTGCTATAGTGTATGTTGAAATGATAATGAAATAAATAAATAAATGTATTTACTGAACAACCGCTTTGCTCGTCATCGTTTGTGGCTTCTCGCCTAACGTCAAACGAATTAATTAGATAGTAGAGGGCGGTAGAGGGGTGAGAGTTATCGAGTTCCAAAATAGAGCTGCTGCTGTTACAGTTTATATTATTTTTTGTAACTTGCCTACCTGTATTAGGCCTACCAAATTATATTTTTTATAATTTTTTAACTATCAACATTACCATGTTGGCAAGTTTTTAACTTCTAATCTGATTCCTAAATCGTAATTTATAGTTATTAATTGTTTACTTTCACATATTTCGATTTGAATAAATGTTACTGTATACTGAATACCATGTCTTTACTGTTATATTTTATATCGTATTGCCCTTTAATTTGACATTTCAATCTATTTCATAACCGTACATCTTGATTTATAAGCTCTTTTAGAGTTTTTTTTTCTTTTCCTGCAAGCGTATTTTTCATATTTGAACTTTTTGATAAATATAATTTAAATTATAAAAATTAGGGTCTATGATACAGTTCTACCCAAGATAAATTCCCTGCAGAGCCGACGAGCAATGATATTGGCCAAATAGTGGAAAAAGTATCCATCATAGACCATCATAATTCATCAATTATTCATTTTACCTATTATTTTTTGTAAGTTTAGTAACCGGGGCCTTTTTTATTTTACCACCTGTCGAATTAAACGTGTGAACCGACGATTTCGAAGAGTGTGCTACTGCGCCCCACCACAACTTCAGACATTTTACTTAGTCCGCTCGATGCTCCCTTTTGAATCCTATATTATTACAGTATAAAAATTATATTTTATCACACTGTTTGTATCTTAACATAGGTCTATCAAAGCTATAATTTTTAAGATATTATCTTATCATACTATTAGTTTTCTTTTTATTTTCCAAGGTCGGAGTTTCTATATGTTGCTAGATTGGTGTCACTAAAATGTTACGGCCCCGGCCTTTGGGATGGGGTTCACTCACCAATGAAGGAAGACTTATCCAATACTGTATTTAATACCATTCACCCATTGGCACATTACCAGTCTTCTGCGAAAAGCTACCGGTACCATAAAAACACACTTTATACCCAGTCGGAAATAATGTTGATTTAATTAAAGTTTGCAAACCTGTCAACGCTAAGATATCAAAATATTAATAGGCTAATTTTTTTTTTACCAGTAACAATTCTAAATCTAAATCTATTAAGTTACTCATCAACACCTTTTGAATATTGCTGCAAAGGTCCCACATAACGACAATGTTAAAACATAAGCAAACACGTGCGTCTCTAGGACAACACGTGTGCTTGTTAAACCAAAGACTTTTAACTAAACACGCGCGTATTCTGTCCCTGTTCTGATTGGTCAGTTGTTAAGTTTGATTCAGGCGCGGATCCAGCGGGGGGGGGGGGATGAGGGCCCGTGCCACGCCACCCCCGTCAATTAAGCCGAAAAATAAAAAAATGAAAGTGACAAATCTGAGTCACGCCACCCCCGTCAATCAAGCCGAAAAATAAAAAAATGAAAGTGACAAATCTGAGTTAAAGAGAGAAAAGAGCAAAAAAGTGAGTGCACCCATGAATCAGTGACGATCCAGCAGTGGGCGAAAGGAGAGCTCGATTATTTACCACTTATTTTCACCAACCATGGTGGGGCTGAGGTGAGCGTGGTGGCGTGAAATTCATATTGTTTGACCTCCATATTGTGTGACCTCCCCCCCCCCCCCCCCCCCCAGAAAATCTGTGGAGCCGTCTCTGTGATTGGCACTCTGAAAAGGTCCATTTCCCACATACCATTATGCATCCTGGCCACCTCCCGCCAACAACCCAAATCGAATTATGCATCCAGGGGAGGGCCAGGGGTAGGTTACGTTACTCCAAACTTGAGTGGTTTCGGGCTAAAGTTAAGTGATAAAATGTCAGTTGTGTAGGCCTACATTGAAAAGTGGCCTCGAATAAAAAAGGGTCTGAAAATTAAAAGGTATGATCTCGAATGGCAGGGTGAACGGTTTTAAAAATTGTAATTTTTGCTATTATTATATTAAATTACACTGATATTACTTAAACTTTCAGGTTGTCCCATTATATAATCCGTTCTCCTCTTTTTTTTTCTCCTTTTGCAATTTCCGCTGGTTGACCAAATGTGTATATGAATTATCGCGTTACTTCATGAGAAAGAGCCCATCTTTCAATTTAAACGATTTATTTATTTTATTTACGCCGAGAGAATGAATATATTAGGCCTACATCTGTTTCATCCATCGTGCCTTAATTTTGGCGAGGAATTTGTTATTCATAGCCTAGTGTGTTGAGACTCGACTAGGTTTTATTTATAGCAAAAATCTCAGGAAATGTGAAATAATCATTTCACTACCCGACAAACTCTGAACTTTATTCATTCATCAGGCCTAATAATTTCATACTGTACTATATACTCAAACATCACTGGCGCATGGTAACAACCAACTGACTGCAGACCATTTCCGGTCACACATTTACTCTCCATAACACAGCTCCCCCTAGTTCCGTCACCTCTGGGTTTTATTTATAGCAAAAATCTCAGGATAAAAATGTGCTGTGTATTAATTTATTCAAATATATGCATATCCAGCCGGGGCCGTATGCATACCGTAACTATACTGACGGTATAGTATTTACAGTAAAGCATGACAGTAATCATTTAGTTCGCTTACGGGTAGCCAGTTTTGTTTGACGTAGCCTATTTTTCGTTATTTATAATTTAAAATTCGAAGATCAGACATGTTCCAAAAGAAGATAGTGGTGGTGGTGGTTCTGCTAGCTGTATGGTTCCTACAAGTAGCCTTAGCTAAGTTTGGCGAGGATATATCCGCTAACAACGAGGATAATACATTTCAGGGTTTGAGAAAATATTTTATTTATAGCTTAGGCCTACTTTCCAAACAATACTTTCTTTTCGCGCTCTCTTGTAGCTGTGTCAAGGCCACAAAAGCTCTATCTAAAAGGGACCCCTTTAAATTGAGTGCCACTAAAATGTTATGAATGTTTGTTATGCAAGGCTAAACCAGATGTGATTTAATACAAAATAGCTCTACGATGAGTGCTACAGATATTTTAACTAATCCAATCGTCTGTGTCCACGTGGATTTATATTATTTTAACTTGGTCACCGTACACTTCCTCTTCGCGGTTGAGTTTAAGTAGTTTTAGAAACAACACAAGTCAGGGCCAGTGGATACTTTGTATCGAAATGTTCTGAAAAATTATTTTCCAAAGCAGTCGTAACTTCATCTGAATCAGTGCCGGATTAAGCATCGTCTGGCCTCAAGGCACATTTTGGAAATGGCCAAAAATGTTAATTGAATGGACTCCATGGTAATAATTACGAGTTTTCTGGCCTAATAATACCGGAAAATAGAGTGTAAATAATATTGCAGTCCAACTTTTGATGGCCCATCATTTTCGCCTGGCCCACAAGGCTTGTGCTTTATTTGCCTAATGGTTAATCCGGCACTGATCTGAATATATGCAAAATTTGACGAAGTTGGTGGTGCATTATCATAGAAGTTGCAGTGGAAATTGTTTTTAAAGCAGTTCATGAGGGGTTTTTTGCGTTAATGGTTTACGACGAAACGTATAATTTTAAAGCTCTGTAAGAATGTGTTTTACGTCCATAATTAACGGCGAAACGTTACATTGATAATGCATGTTTGCGCTTTTTTTAGATATGGGTCAAGCTACGCTAGAGAATTTCAACGTACATGATGGCGCCATGGACATCGTCGTCAACATTGAAGATACAGTGAACGTTCCAGAAATTTGGATACTTGATTTTGAACCGTATTTATTCAATATGAATGAACTTCCTATAGAAGAAGCAACAGGTACTGTACCGTATCAGATATTCTGCTAATCCAGTTAAAACTCGGAAGAGTTTAACATTTGCAAATTCCAGTAAAGTTACTGCTACAACATTCGACTTATTGATTCTACTTGTTGTTCTAGACATTAGGTTTAATGAAACGAAATTATTTTATTTTCCTGATGACGATTATTATTATTACAATGAATTGGCTAATTGTTTCCTTTAGATATATTTATGAAACGTACGATTATTTTTCCGGTATGAAACACAAAAGTAGAGTGCACATCCAGTCAGTTTGATCAAAGAGGAACAAAAATAAAGTTCTTGACATATGCAATGATTAGCAAATCGGTCACATCGGCAATTTTCATATTAAAATTAAGCGTTTATTCTTTGATAATTTGTTTATAATGTTGCAGCACTTTAATAGGCATTTATTTGTTAGGCCTATGGACATTAAAGTTCAACTACTGTTACAGCTTAGTTTTCATACAATCTCTACACACTATCGCCGACGGATGGCTCCGGGTGAATTGCTGATTGTCGGTCGGTCGGGGAGCCTTTCCGATTGTGTCGGGGATCTTGCTAAGCATAGGGCCTACAACGATTGCACTAAAAACGCTGTAGCGATTGTTTGTTACTTTTACAGGAAGATTAGTGGCGAAAAATACAGGCAATTGTTCATCTGTGTTTGAAAATGCTGAATTCACGGACTATTTGAGCGACAATTACTTCCAAGATCAAGACACATCAGCTCTAACTACGAATGGTAAAGAATTGTTTACAAGTTTTGTACGGGGAGATTCAGTAGACGGTAAGTATCCAAGCCGAAAATAACCACAAGGCAGTTGTTGGTCACGGGCAGTGGCGTAGAGCTATGAGCTCTTATGGGCTAAAGCCAGGGGCCCAAACCTTTAAGGGGCCCCGGATATTCATAATTTTTGTTGCCACGCATCGGACTGATCAGAATGTCAAAACCCACCCTTAAATCATCTAAAAGGCCGAAGTGGCTCCAGTGGCGTATATAGCAGTATTAAAATGGGGGGGGGGGGGGGGGGGGGGGGGCCAAAAAATGGGGGGGGGGGGGATTCACGCTCCCGAATACGTTAACCGTGACAGATAATTATGTTAAAGTATATCTCTTGAACGCAGTATTTAAGAAGTGAGATAATACCATAATAAACAAAACGAAACTTTTATTGTCGATTACGATTTCTTGCCTTAATTAAAATTACCGTATTGTTTTAACAATAGATAGTTTTATTTTAAATAGGCTTACATCAACAATTCTGCATGCACCAGGAAAATTACTATGCTAGACCTTTCGAGGCATCGAATCATACCAACAGTTTTAGAATAATT